ACGAACACATCATTTTCTGTACATGCCAAGGTTAGTGATAAGAATTTCATTTTCCACCCCCGACATTATACTATAGTATTATAATTCGTAATCGAAACATCTGACATGTTGTTATTTGCAAAGTTCTGCTTACCTTACTCATGTTCTAACACAAAACAGAGTTAGAACCATAGCAATTTACCACACAGTGAAGATACCTGGAAAATGCTTTGGCTTTGTAATTTACTTCTGAAAACTGCTCAAATGAAACCTGCTCAAATACTTTTTTTTTTTTTTTCTTGAGACGGTCTTAGTCTGACACCCAGGCTGGAATGTAGTGGCATGGTCAAGGCTCACTGTAGCCTTGACCTCCTAGGGCTCAAGTGATCCTCTTGCCTCATCTTCTCAAGTAGCTGAAAGTACAGGCACAAGCCATCACACCCAACTAATTATTATAATATATATATTTTTTATTTTGTAGAGACAGGGTTTTCACTACATTACCGAGGCTGGTCTTAAACTCCTGGGCTGAAGTGATCCTTCCACCTTGGCCTCCAAAAGTTCTGGTATTACAGGTGGCAGCCACCGTGCCTGGCCCAAATTACTTTTTCTATCAGTATGTTACGATAATAGGAAACTACAAAATGCTCCACACCTTTTGAATTGTATCCCAATTATTCACCACTAGTTTAGTACAGAAAATCTGACTACCGTTTTTAAAATATTTCAAATTTTGCATGATCACAAGCTGGAGTATGTGAAATTATCTAAAATTTAGAGATGTCTAAAAGATTAACAGAAAATGAAAGGAACTCCATATGTTTAATATCTCTACATCTTCTTACTTACTACACAAAATTGGAGAAGAGGGTGTTTGCAGTGTCAAAGTGGAGCCGTCTTTCCTCGTGATATTAACTCGAAAAACCAATCTGGCACGAGTGCTTTTCTTCTTGGAACCAGCAATTCCTATTCTGGCTTCAACATCAGCATTCCTCAATTTCAATATCCCTACACAGTCCACCCTAATACAAAAAATATATATATAAAGGGACATTTTGTTATACAAATAGTATAATGTTCTTAAACAACAAGTGTGTTTTTAAAAATTTTGCTTATCTATTAATTCTGTGAATATGTAATAAAGTCACAAAGTTCCAAGTTCAAAAAGTACCAAGGGTAAATTCTAAACATTCATTGTTCCTAATACTGTCAATCTTTTGTTTATAATAATAAAGATGAAGCAAAAAAAATTAAAATCACCATTTTAAAATCTGAACATAAATAATGGCTTATAAGACATCTTTTTTTTTTTTTTTTTGAGATGGAGTCTCACCCAGGCTAGAGTGTAATGGCATGATCTCGGCTCACTGCAACCTCTGTCTCCTGGGTTCAAGGGATTCTCCTGCCTCAGCCTCCCAAATAGCTGGGATTATAGGCGCCCGCCACCATGCTCAGCTAATTTTTTGTATTTTTAGTACAGATGGGCTTATACCATGTTGGCCAGGATGGTCTTGAACTCCTGTCCTCAAGTGATCTGCCTGCCTTAAACTCCCAAAGTGTTGGGATTATAGGCATGAGTCACCACCACACCTAGCCAGGGACCTTTTTTTTTTTTTTTAATACATTTAATCTCTTTCTTTACAGAGCTAATTCAGAAAATAGAGAAAATGGACTTTACTTTTAAAATTAGTAGATGCCTCCAGAAGGATGGAATACTAGACAGCCACTAAAAAGTACATTATCACATTGAATGATATGTGAAAAATGCTCATGATATGTTAAGTAAAAAGCAGATTATAAGACAATGGGTACAGTACTTTCTCAATTGTGTTTAAAAAAGACTATGAAGATAAACATTAAAATAGTAGTTATTTCTGGGAAGTTGGTTTTTATTTATTTACATTTTATTTTATTTTTGTGAGTCAGAGTTTCGCTCTGTCACCCAGGCTGGAGTGCAGTGGCGTAATCTCAGCTCACTGCAACCTCTGCCTCCTGGGTGTAAATAATTCTCATGTCTCAGCCTCCCAATTAGCTGGGATTACAGGCATGCACCATCACCCCAGCTAATTTTTGTATTTTTAGTAGAGCTAGAGTCTCACTATGTTGCCCAGGGTGGTCTTGAACTCCTGGTCAAGTGATCTGCCCACCTTGGCCTCCTAAAGTGGTGGGATTATACGCATGAGCCACTGTGCCTGGCAGGAAGTTTGTTTTTAAAGGGCATGTTTTTAGCTATTTATTACCCTGTGCATTCAATTCTTTTTTTTTTTTTTTTGAGACACAGTTTCACTCTTGTTGCCCAGGCTGGAGTTCAATGACCTGATCTTAGCTCAATGCAACCTCCACCTCCTGGGTTCAAAGCAATTCTCCTGCCTCAGCTGCCTGAGTAGCTGGGATTATAGGTACGTGCCACCATGCCCAGCTAATTTTTGTATTTGTAGTAGAGACAAGGTTTCGCCATGTTGGCCAGGCTGCCCTTGAACTTCTGATCTCAGATGATCCACCCACCTCAGACTCCCAAAGTGCTGGGATTATAGGCATGAACCACTGCACCCGGCCCAACCATGGGAATTATTTAGCAAAGGGTAAAACAGTTAATTTTAACCCATTAGCAGTCTGAAGTAATGTCTTTTTTTATTCATAATTATTTAAAACATTTTAATAAAATACCAAAAATCTTTTGTACATTAGAAACTGAACAATTCTCCTGCCTAACACAAGAATGTAACATATAATGAAAAAATTATTACTAAGTACTTACGCCAGTGTCATGTTGTTGCTAGGATCAAGGCCAACTTCTATAACAGTAGTGCCTTCAATGTCCACTTCTTTGCAAGGAGTTGTATTTCGTCCAGTTACCCTGCAGGCCTGATAAAATCCATGTGGTTTCACTCGTCCAGAGTCGTTGCCCACAAACACCTGCAACACTACAGGTTCATTGTGGCCTTCCAGCTGAAATCAGAAAACATGCAGCAGAAACACTAATTGGCATTACAAATAATCTAATTATAAAATCAAATATTTAAGACCAAATCCTCTACTTGTAACTGGGTTACATTTAAAAACATTTAAATATTCCAGAAAAATAGAGGTAAAACATTTTCACAAAAGAGTTGGTTAAATTCCTGAAGTCATGGTTTTAATTCTGTAATAACTATACTTAAATTATAAATTTAGATGTTAGATGATAAATTATCATTTATAATTTATTTGTACAACCAGATGAGAATGAATGCACAGCACTTTGGGCAGCATTTGGGTTACTCAGGACTTACCATCATAACTAATGAAAAAACTTACAAACCTGTGTTGGTGGCATCATCATCATTATGAAATGAGAGTACATATACCAAATTTTTATTCTAACTAAAGCTACTTGAGTAGAGAAGTACAAGTGCAGCTATATGAGTAACAGGGAAATTAAGCTCATTTTCATGGACTAGATACATACATATAACACCATTAAATCCTGGGCCAAAATATTATGGTCCGAGAGGCTGCTAGTTCAAAGTAGGATCTATGGATGATTACAGGTCACTAGCAAGCCTTCATAAATTAAATTATAGTTTGTATGCTGAAAAATAAATAAATATTTAAAACAGCACTTGGGAACAAGTGTTTCCAATCCTGATTCTTGATAAGATTTATAAACATTGAAACTAATAGAGAAGGCAGAAAATTACAAAGTAAATTGTACAATGCATACCACGTGCTTAAAAAACTGACACATCTTTTCTATTCCAGTACAGTCCTATCTCTGTAAAATGGTATAATGAGGATAATAAGCAAACTAGTCAATTTGCTGGTCAGCAGAACCTAGATGAACAGTGTCTGGCACATAGAGGAGTGCAGTATTTGGTTTTTTTGTTTGTTTTGTTTTTTATCATAGCAGCAGCCAACTAGGAGATTTTTTTTCTTGTCTAGGAGTGCAGTATTTGTTGAATGAATGACTAAACAAACTTTTTTTTTCTTTTTTTGAGATGGAGTTAGGCTTTTGTTGCCCAGGCTGGAGTGCAATGGTGTGATCTCAGCTCACCGAAAACTCCGCCTCCCGGGTTCAAGTGATTCTCCTGCCTCAGCCTCCCAAGTAGCTGGGATTACAGGCATGCACCACCATGCCCGGCTACAGATAAACTTTTAAGGTCAATTCATTCCCTATCATAGTAAAGCAATTAATCTAACAATACTTCGAACTAGACAAAACATAACTTAAAAGTCAGGGCAATTCAGTTAAACATAATGACCAAACTACCAAAATATCTGGCTAGACAAATATTTACACAAAGCATAACATAAGTTTTTCACTGCTTATTACCTGTCCTGGGTTTGAAGGATTGGGTGTGGGTTAAGGTAGTAGCTAGGAAAAGGGGTAGACATGATATTGTACATGTGACTATTAATCAACCTTATAAATGGTGGCAGACACGTTTCCCAATTCAGAGTTTCAATCATAATTTCATTCAAGTATAAAATGAAAGGCAGTCCAACTCTGCTCCAAACTTAAAATACTGTTCAACTAATATATTTATACAAACTGTATTTAATAAGAATCTATCATGTAATTAGCCAAAATTCCTCCCTGTTTAGTATTTTGCAAAGGGTAGGAACACTTGTTAAGTCCTCTCCCTATTCCCCCATTTTTCTGAGGCTTGTCTTCAAAGACAAATATTCTTTATAACAAGATATCCTAGGTGCTAACACTTAAGTCTCTTTTAACTTTTAGTCTCAACCTTTAAAAAAATTAAGACTCAATTGATATCCCTTTTTTTTTTCTCATTTTCTTCTTTCCCCCGTACTTCAGTATATACAAATGATATTCTATTTCTTTTTTTTTTTTTGATATTCTATTTCTTAAACTGAAGATTTAAAACCAATTCCTCAGTCCAATAGTCCTGATTACAATAATCATCTCAAAAACCTTATTTTCAAAGTTCTTAATAATTTCTACTATATTTCTTTGAATTCACCTTAATATTTCTTCCTCCAAGTCAAGCAAATCACTTGAGATCAGGAGTTTGAGACCAGTGTGGCCAACATGGTGAAATCCTGCCTCTACTAAAAATACAAAAATTAGCTGGGCCTGGTGGCACACTCCCAGATACTCTGGTAGCTGAGGCTTAATAATTGCCTGCACCTGGAAGGCAGAGGCTGCAGAGAGCTGAGATCGCATCACTGCACCCCAGCCTGGGCAACAGGGTGAGATTCTGTCTAAAAAAAAAAAAAAAAAAAATTCTTTCTAAATATAAAGTTTTGGATGATTCTAATTCAAATATCAAATATGAAGGAGGAAAATTCATGATTGAAAATACTTTACTTTTCAGGACATATTCTCATTTCCCTTTACATTTTAACTAAAATTCAGATGACAAAGTAAATACCTTTACTGTAGGAAAGCCTTGCTGTGTTCTGTCTTTTACTGAGCCTCGGCTGCCCTCAGTAAGGTACCGAGCTCGGTGCTGTGTCTCAGGTTGTACAACTATCTTCAGCTCCTTTCCCTCACTTTTAACAGGATATTGTCCACACAACATAGGGCTCTTCTTTACTCCAGTTCCTTTTTGGTTTTCCAATGTTCTGAGAAATCAGAGCACAACATGAAGAAAGTATCAAAAAGAGTTTTTTGATAAAAGATAAAAAGTCATTTAAGACAAAGGAAGAAACAGAACTGGCAATAATAGTAAAAACAACTATTTAACTTACTGGAAAAATAAAATATTGCCTAAAGGAAGATACATAAGCAAAGTATCTTCAAACGTTTTATTAAAAGTTTATTATATGGTACAAAAATAAGAGAAAGTAAGTTTGACAGAAAACGAATGTATATAAGTAGTAGGAGGAAGGGAGAAAGATTGAGTGCAATAAACTGAGAATAACAGCAAAGAATAGTTAATGTCACTATGGCCTTTCACATTGCACTTCAGTCAAAATAAGATTTAAAAATTCCATGTATGCATTCCATATATAAATTCCAAATTCTATATAAAGCTATAAGATTACCTACTGTTATTTTTTAATTGCAAAGCAAAAAAAAAAAGAAAGAAAAAAAGAGGGTAGCAAAAACAAAAAACAAGCCCAAAAACCCCTACATGCCCCCATAAAAAATGGCCTACAAACCACATGAAGGTATATGTAACATTCTTTTGGGTATCCTTCTGAGTAAATCAAAGTGAAGAAATTATAATAAAAGATTAGTGATTGAATTTTTATTGGGAAATTAGCTTTATTCTAAACAATCTTTTCTAGAAGTGTGATTTTTCAGATTATTTTTATTTGTGATTAGTTAAGTAATTAAAGCCCTCAATAAAAATTTTACAACCTGGGTTTTACAACACCAGCATTATACCTTTTACTTTTTTTGAGATGGAGTTTCGCTCTGTCACCCAGGCTGGAGTGCAGTGGTATAATCTCGGCTCACAGCAACCTCCACCTGCTGGGTTCAAGTGATTCTCCTCCTCAGCCTCCCAAGTACCTGGCATTACAGGTGCACGCCACCACGCCCAGCTAATTTTTGTGTTTTTGTTAGAGACGGGGGTTTCACCATGTTGTCCGGGCTGGTCTCGAACTCCTGACCTCAGCTGATCTGCCTGCCTCAGCCTCCCAAAGTGCTGCATTACAAGCGTGAGCCACTGTGCCTGGCCCTTATTTTTTTAAGTTATATTTCTAACATTTATTTATAATGCATTTGCTATGTAGAGTATATGTACAAAGAAAAACAGTATCCCAAATGGTGGCTTTGACTTCAGGCAAACACATTTAATCTGTAAAATAGTTAAAGCACTGCAAATACATAATAAACATAAATAGAAAATAATATTGCTAGTTATCTTTCCTTTTGAGCAATGGTGTGGTGGCTCACGTCTGTAATTTCAGCACTTTGGGGGTCCAAGGCAGGTGGATCACCTGAGGTCAAGAGTTTGAGATCACCCTGGCCAACATGGTGAAACCCCATCTCTACTAAACATACACAAAATTAGCTGGGTGTGGTGCCAGGCACCTGTAATCCCAGCTACTCGGGAGGCTGAGGCAGGAGAATCACTTGTACCCACAAGGCGGAGGTTGCAGTGAGCCAAGATCACACCATTGCACTCCAGCCTGGGCAACAAGAGCGAAACTCCGTCTCAAAAAAAAAAAAAAAAAAAAAAAGTTCATATATGTTTTTAAATAAAGTCAGGGCCATAGCTTTCACTGACTCTCCTAGTCCTAAGTTTTGACTCACACTGAAGATCCAAGAGCCAGGTGACTGTGGACAAAAATCTCCTCTAAAAACAACCAGATCCCAGAAGGAATATTATGACTTCAAACACAGAGGAGCTAAGCAGCCTTAGACCTGGCTCTGATGTTTACTCCTCCAGCTGTAACCGAGTTACTGCCTCAATCATCAAGAACAAAGTGAGGAAAGGTAGTATCTTCAATGGAAATGGGGAGTAGGTTGAATCCTTTGCTAGGAAAAGGGCCAGAAGAATGGCAGAAGGAAGGAATGAAAAACTAGCACAGGTATTCAGTAAGACTGATAGATAAGAGGAAAAGTTCTCAAGCCAAGTACTGTGCTTAACCCTCTTCATATTCCCCGAACCTTGCACAGTTCCTGAAACATAACAGGTGCTGAAGAAATGTTTGTTAATGAAGGCAAGTAAGAAGAAAAAAGGGACAAAAAAAGGAAAGCAGAGGAAAAAAGGAGTTTCTGTAATAGTAAGGTGAGAAGGACCTGAGACCTAAGATAAGAAAGGTCCTAAGTGGACAAGAAATACCATTCACGTAAGTTTGACATAAGTCAGTCAAAGATTACCTGTGCAAGTCATTTAAAAAGGGCCTGGAAAAATAAATTCTATGAATATAACTATCGAGTTGAAGCTGGAACAATGGGCAATAAACCCTGTTGTTCTTCCCATCATACTGGCTACAGATTCAAACATTTTGTCTAACTAGTGTGCAATTCCTCACACATGAAAGTCTATGATATTCTGTTTTATGCTAATTTTAAAATCAAAGTAAAAATATTCATGTATTGAAACTATGTAGAAATATTCCCCAAATATACATACAAAGGGAACAAAGAAAATACTGCAAAATGATAACAGCAGGTTTACTGAGTGAATAGATGATGTGTTTTCTTGCATTTTTCAAATATTTGTAATTCATTTCTATTAATTTTATAATAGAAAAGGGAAAATTTTAGTTTGAAATATAGGAAAAATTCATAGAGCATATTGATTAACTTGGCAAGACATGTTTTTATACCCACTTACGCTAGTCAAGCTAATATTTATAAGGGCAAATAAATGAAAATGAGTTTTACTAGTCTAGCAGAACAAATTATCTCATTTGGGTGAGTGAGTATACACATGGCTTAAAGAAGAATATCATATGTAATTAAGCAATTTCTAAAATGCTACTTTAGAAGTCCTTAAAACTATCTTTATTCTCTAAATTTAAATGTAAAATGGAATACATACATATTGAGATGTACAGACATGTAAAACTATGAAAACATGAACTAATGCTTCAAAAAGTAGTAGTTACTAATTTTTAAGGAATGATGGCTTAAGAAAAAATAAAGTAGCAGTCAGTTACATGGGATTTTACTTCCAAATGGCAAGTAAAAAGGAAAATCCACCATCATGGCATATTCTATTCAGAAGTCTTAAATGACATTCTAATTTATTTGTGCTGCATAATCCTTCTGGTGGCCTATGTAAAAAAAAATAATTTTCACTACAAAAAGCCTGAAGTAGGTTTCACATCCAGATGACATCGTATCTTAACTTGCAGTAATATCTAGAAGAGACATGGGGCAAGTGATTCTTAGGACATTTAGTTGAGACATTTAAGAATGATATGGCTAGGAATATTCAAAATATGAAGCTTTCTTTAAAAAAAAAGATTTTATTTTCTTAATAAACTCTAACATTTTCATCATTTAAAAATGCTATTTTCATCCACAAGCTATCAAATTTCTATGTGGTATTTTGAAGATCAATAAACTGCTGTATACAATATATTTGAAAGTACATTTTCTAAATACTCAGTATGATATAAATTATAATTTTACGGCATGTTTGATCTAAGGCTATATATTCTTATCTCTCAAAACATTTTAAGATTTTTTTTTTATTGTTGAAGAACACAGGCTTTTAGCTTGAGATGCTCTGAAGTTATTTTTAAGGCCTATTTTTCTATATTTAGGTATGGTTTCATCCTTTCCTCAATATAGTTCTTATAAATTCCAATTTTAAACTTCTTCCATCATTTCCATATACTAGTTTCAAATATTTTTTTCATTACCTAAGAAGCTGGACATTTCTTCTGCTTGATGGAGTTTCTGCTCCATGAATTATTTCATGAAAGTTTGTCTTGACCAGTGTCATTATACATTCCCTGGGTAACCTCAAATCATTTCTAAGATACAGCTATCACACAAAAGTAGAAGCAGAAAAGATGAAGGTCAAGATATTTCTTTAATTAGCAACTGCAAATCACTGTGTTTACTGGCCATAAGTAAAAATTGTATTTTCTCTTAATTTGAATCTTCAACATTGATTTTGATATAAAAATGAAAATCTGTCTTCTGGAACTTTAAAGTCTTTCTCTACTAAAGCCCAAATAAACACACATATGTAATTAAATGATATTCATGAACCTTTTAGATCTGTGCTATCACAGTTACTTATTTAATGTGCTGTGTTCATTATGTTTCAGTCTTATTTTATTTTATTTTATTATTTATTTATTTATTTTTTTGAGATGGAGTCTCGCTCTTGTTACCCAGGCTGGAGTGCAATGGTGCGATCTCAGCTCACCGCAACCTCCGCCTCCTGGGCTCAGGCAATTCTCCTGCCTCAGCCTCCTGAGTAGCTGGGATTACAGGCACGCGCCACCATGCCCAGCTGATTTTTTGTATTTTTAGTAGAGACGGGGTTTCACCATGTTGACCAGGATGGTCTCGATCTCTTGACCTCGTGATCCACCCGCCTCGGCCTCCCAAAGTGCTGGGATTACAGGCTTGAGCCACCGCACCCGGCCTCTCAGTCTTATTTTATAAATAATATTTTTACAAATATTATGTTCTGAAATTCTTGACTCTATTAACCGGCAACATTTTAGGAAAGAGTTTATCTTATTTTCTTTTAGGTAATTTACTAATCTGGACTTTCTAAAACTAAAAAGCATTTAAATATTATTTTCATTTAACTACATCACCCCAAAAGCGATAAAGCAGCAGTGTAGAATAATTATTGCTTAAAGTGTAGATATTACTTTTAAAAATGTACTGAAGGAATGCTTAACGGCAAGTTTAACATACATTAAGAATATTCTCTATAATATTAAACTGGATTTTTAACGAAAAAAAGATCAGTGATGTCATCAAGTAGTAAACCAATCTAAAGCATCTTGACCACTTTTGTGTAAAATTGAAATTGTAGGAGATCCTGGGTCCTAGTTAGTTAAATTTTAACAAATAATTTTGAATGTACTATAGACAAATTGAATTTAAAAGTCTAGCAATTAAATATTACAATAAAACTACTAAAGGAATTAAAAATAAGTCATATTAATCTGCATTACAGCAGTGAATTTTCTGTAACATAGCTATTGAACCGTATTAGTAGGTAGTATGAACTGGCAGAGATGAAAGAAAACTCAAACATGTACCATGATCCTGTTTCATCACCCTCTCAGTAAGTAACCCAGAATCACAGAAAAAAAAATTAGTGATTAAAAAAAAGTCTTGAATCCAATGCATTAGTATCAAAGGAAAAAAGCTTACAATACATGAATCTAAATGATGAGAATCAAACTATCAATTTAGTTTTCTCTTGTCATCCATCAAAGAGAAAAAAACTAAGTCTAAAATCCTCTAAAAAGATGTAAACTATATGAGGACACAACGTGAAAGGGAACACAGCTCTTAGTGACCATCTGAGTTATTTTGGCTAGAGTCATTACAATGCTAGTTATTTTATGAGTAAAAATATTTTTAAGTCCTTTTAAAATATAAATTCATTTGAAATTTAAGTTATTTCAAAACAGATTATTTTCATTTTCTATTACCTAACTACCCCATAATAAGATGATTATTTTATTTTCTATCTACTAAAAGTTGGTAATTTTAAGTTAAAATGTTCATGTATTTCAATGATAAAATTAGCACTGTTGCTTTATATGCAAACTTGAGCGGAGCAATTAAGAAAAATTGGGAATTTTTTTTTGTTTTGCATAATGGTGATAGAATTTTAAAAAATGTGAATACCAACCCATTTCCTGCTTTTGAGTTGCCTTTGTTGTCCGTGGTAAGCTGAGAAAGCACATAGTGAGGTGCTTTGGCACTGTCGGCATCAAATATATCCATATTAGATTCTTCACAATCTCGTCGTTTGACCCCCGGCCTCTGCTTTGGATTTCGTTTTCGTGATTTACGAGGTACCTCAGTGTTATCATTGTAGGAACTGGTGCTCATGTTACTGAAGTTGGAGGGGGAATCCTCCATCCACATACTGCAGCTCTGCTCAGATTCCAATCCACACCCCTCATCCTGGCAGGACATCCGACTGTTATCCAGCAAGTCCTCAGGTGGTGGTGAGATGTACAAGACTGTGTGCCTCTTCGGTGTTGATGGATGCTGCTGAACTGTGTTACTGGTTAACTGCTTTTCACTTACCCCTCTGTTACTTACCCCCAAGGCTGAGGAGCAGCTCTCCACTTGCATAGCCTTGCTGTCGGTGACTGAGGTAGAATAAATGGTAGGGCTGGAAGAGGTGGTAAAGGAGCTGCAAGCACCGCCCATGGAGGAAGAGGAGGGAGCTGAAGAAGCATCTGCAGTGTACAATTCAAGAGTAAATACACTATACATGTTTTCACCTATGCTGGCTAGCAGTCCCATTGAAAATGTGATTTGCGAACTGATTGTTTTTCCCCAAAATGAATAGTCGGAATTTGGTTACGTTTTAGAATATAAATGCTTCAAGCAATATAAGGCCTAAGAAATGCAATTTTTAAAAATGCCCAAATAGCATTATTTAACTTGTGTTACAATCAATAGATTTTAAAAATCTAATTTAATGTTTTAAGCTGTAAAGCAAAAATAAAGCTTTTATTGCCTCAGCCGGACATCCTATTGAATTTTAATCATTTAAAGTAATAAAGAAAACCCCAATATGAAATATATTCTTGTGGTCCACATTCAATGCCAATTAAATAATTCATTATAGAATTTGAAAAGTGGGACTGTGCTTAGCCACAAAATATTAAAATAAGTTTCTAACCTATGAAGCAGAGAACTACAGGTCATTTTTAATGCAGACACTCCCTGCTTCAGAGGCAAATCCTGGAATAAAAATATGAGAAAATAAATGAGAAAAGAGCTGCTGATTATTGCAGATATCAATTATAAAATGAGAAATAAATAGAAAAAATATATAATCAACTGAATTGGAGGCAAAATGGAACTGGTATTGTCACTATAATTGGTTGTAAAATCTAGAAGAAACAAGATGAAAAAGGTTTGATTTGGAACATGCTGGGTTGTAGAAGATAAGCAAGTTAATCATTGTGTCTCCAGAAGCTGGAAGTGGTAGTTCAAAACCATAAGCTCTAAAATAAACCCATCCTTTATGACAGAATAAAAAGCAAAGGAAGAACAGATTAATGGATGGATTTCTCTTATAAAGTGATTGATTACATGCTCAACAATTGGTTACAGCTGTCTATTTTCTCTCTTTTTAAAGGGCCTGGTTGATTGTTACTAGTCAGGGAATTTTCCAATGTAAGAACAATGGTAAATTTATTGGCTGAAGTCTAACAAAAAAAATAGGTAAGCATAAAAATCTCTGGAGAGCATCAGAATTAATTCCTATAAAAATATTTTTTTTTATAAAACCATTTATCTACTATGCCTAGCAAAAAAAGATTTACATAGATCTTTTCAGCACGTGTGGCAACTGGCAGAATAGCTCACTGAAAATACTACTACTTTAGCCCTTAACAGCATAACCTCAGAGGCACATTAATTGCTAAGGTTGAAAGTTTCATGACTAACATTTTAGATATCATTTTATCTTATTCTCAATATGGAAAGGTTTGTCATCATATGCACACACAAAAATAAAAATAGGTAACATGTGACAAAGATACATTTCAATCTAAAATTAATTTGTATCTACAGCCAACTATGCCACTGTTTTAAAGTATATGCTAAAATTGTGATGTGCAGTTAATGGAATTGCAACATTCATATCAATGATAAAGAGTACAATGTAAGAATGTCAATGTTTAGATAATTAAAAGCCAAGTGCCAAAGATCTGTTTTTTTAATTGAAAACATGTATTTAAAATACACCTAAATTATTTCAATGAACTATATCCACCCAGAATTCTTCATTGCTGTCAAGGCTAAAGAGCACAGTAATTAATATTAGTCATCAATAATATGATCTACATAATCTGACATGGAAAGATTTTTTCCAACTACCATAAGTGAAAGAGCCTAAAGAAATTAGATGATACCAGTTCCATTTTCCAGTATGTATCCTTGTCAAATGCAGTAGCTGAAATTAGAAAATTCAGTCACTTTAAACTGCATTCCACTTTGAAGGAAAACTTATCAATTTTGTAACATGCATTAATGCAATGTTTTCTTAGTAAATAAATACTGTAAAAGATTTGTAAAAACTACAAAATCTATATGCTAATGCCAGTGACAGTTTAGGAGCTGATTTGTAGCCACTTTGAGTTTAAATATAAATTTTTTCCTTGTCTTTTGAAAAATACTACAGAATTCATTTTAGAAAAAATAGAAAAGGTATTATATCTAACATTCCTCCATCTGTTCCAACTATTGGCAAAAACGAAACTAAATTTTTTTGTGTGTGTAAGCCTGTTCTTCATTTTCAGAGAAATACAAGTATGCAGCATACAAGTATGCAGCATGCAATATTTGCAGTGGAACACAAAATACATGAATGCTGTGAACTTATATTTCCATAAAGCAGCTTTCTCCCACTCACCCTTCTTAAATCTAAGGATCATGCACATGAGAATGCAGAGTATGAACATCTCAGGGATCCCTGTTCATGACAGATGGAAAGTACAGGTGAAAAGCAATCATGAACCCAAAAGCAACTTATATGATATTTATGAATTTAATATGCACAATGTAACCTTGTCTTATTCTCTGAGGTAAAATTTTTATCTTGCAAACCTTATCAAAGCCATAATGATTATAAAACCCAAATGACTTAAAAGTCATACATAAGTGTGTGTTCTGGGACAAGTATGCCAAACTGTGATATCATACCCTATGTAAATTTAAATATTCTATACATTTTCCTTGGACAGCTAACACATGATTCTTGCATTTCCTGCCATTTCCTGGGTATACTTATTAAAGAAAAAGTTAATTAGCACAAAACTCTGACACTGAAAATATTAACTCTGTCAGAGTAGAAAGTAAGTATCTTTTAATTGAAAAATAATATTACTTTTTAAAGTATACCTCAGTTTGGTTTGGCCCCCAAATTGCAAAGATTCTACTCATTTTAAGACAAAGGAGATAATTTTTGTAAAACTATAAAACTCTTTTTTTTTTTTTAAGCTCTGTTGCTCAAGCTACAGTGCAGTGGCACGATCACGGCTCACTGCAGCCTCAACCTCTTGGGCTCAAGAAATCCTCCTGCCTCAGCTTCCCAAGTAGCAGAGACTACAGGCGCACAACACCATGCCAGGCTACTTTTTAAATTATTTGTAGAGACAGGATTTTTTCATGTTGCCCAGGCTGGGTTCGAATTCTTGGGCTCCAGCAATCCTCCTGCTTTGGCCTCCTAAAGTGCTGGGATTACAAGCATGAGCCACCACATCCAGCCTAAAACTCTTTACAATGGTATTACTGATATTCTGACAATTACAATGATGTATAAAATCTTTCTTTTTTAAAAAAATTTTTTATTCTGACATGGCTCTGATGATGTATAAAATCTTTCATATCAAAATGTTACATTCTGATTAGCAAGAGATCTGAGTGCATTAATAATGCCAGGTGAGGTAGTAAAGTGGAGGGTATGAACTGTGAGCACCTCGAAAGCAGCAACAGTATCTTTCTCATCTCAGATCCTCCCAACACCTACCACAGTGCCCAGCATGTAATGAAGTTCAAATTTATTAAATTGAGTTATGGGGAGTCAAAAATTTGATATGTATTTTGAGTTAAAGTTAAGCTTACAAATAAATGTAGGTTGAAGAATAAAAGAGTACTCAGAATATACATTACTATGATAACATTATTTAATACAAGGGAAATACTAAGAGTTTAGACATAACTATTTGCTATCTCTACAGAGAGTACTGTAGTAATTTTATTTCCTTAAACTGTAAATAAGCCAAATTACCTACTTATACATCCATAAATTTACCATGAAAAAAATCTTTAATATCCTATTAAAATATAAATACCTAAAATAATGATATCAGAAGATTTTAAACGTCTAACACTAATTTGTCATTTCCAAGCATTCCCAGAAAATGCTAACAAATCTTCCTGGGACTCAATATATCTATAAAGATCTTTCAGTCACTGTATCACTAAATAAAATACCAAAAAAACAGCTTGACATCTGTAGAACTAAACTGTTAAATGCAATCCTGCCCCATCTATATATTCTTTTTTTTTGAGAGGGAGTCTTGCTCTGTCACCCAGGCTGGAGTGCAGTGGCGTGATCTCAGCTCACTGCAACCTCTGCCTCCCAGGTTTCAAGTGATTCTTCTGCCTCAGACTCCCAAAGAGCTGAGATTACAGGCGTGAGCCATGGCACATGGCCATGTGAATATATTTTATTCATTTTCTTTTCTTTTATGAAGGAAATATCGTTGAACCTATAGTCTAATTTATATAGAATAATTTTATTTGTTCTACAGCATTTTCTGTGACCACAGAAAGCACAACAAAGGAAATACAGATCATCCTATAATTTACTAATAGAAATTTATGTCAGATTATTTTAAATAGAATAATTTTAAAATTTAAAAGGGAAGGTAAGTGTCATATGTAAAGTACCCTGTATTTAAGTCTATATGCCACTATTAGCAGTAGCCAATTATCAGACCAAATGTCAGTAATGATGGTGAACTTGAATTGTGTATATTGATGGAAACACTAAGGTTCACTACAAACGCTCAAAAGTAGTTGATATTTAAAGATTGGCAGATATTAAATAATATCTACGTGGAATATGGATATCCCAGAATCTGCAATTCAATAAAAAATGAAAAACGATTTTATTTTCAAATTTATTTTTTCTTTCTTTCTTTTTTTTTTTAGACAGTCTTGCTCTGTCACTCAGGGTGAAGTGCAGAGGCATAATCACAACTCACTGCAGCCTCAACCTCCCAGGATCAAGTGATCATCCCACCTCAGCCTCCTGAATAGCTAGGACTACATGTGTGCACTGCCACACCTGGCTAATTTTTGTTATTTTTTTGTAGAGACAGGGTTTCACCATGTTGCGCAGGCTGATTTTGAACTCCTGGGCTCAAGCGGTCCTCCCATCTCAGCCTCCCAAAGTGCTGGGATTACAGGCGTGAGGCACCGTGCCCAGCCTGGAAAAAAGATTTTAGATGGTACCATTTACAGAAATCCATACAGATTTTATATACTCCTTATTTAAACAGTATTTTAAACTAAAGAACTATCAGTTCTAGGTTTGTCAACTAGAAATTATTTTAACTACCATCATTAAAAAGGTATGATACTTTATATGGAACTAACAAAACTTTTAATAGGAAGCTTTGAAATTAGAAATATTTGTCAAAGCCCTCAAAAGAAAGAAATACCTTTCACTGACTTAAAATACATGACAGAAAAGTCATTTAACTTCCAAGCTTCCAAGATTAAAATCTGATTCTGAACATTTGAATACGTATATATTTTTACAATTTTTCAACATCTGTGCAAAATCAATAGAGTTTTCTTAAAAAGTGAGTTAATAAAAGCCATAAAATTTTGCAAGTGTGCCCAGTGAACGCAAAGTGGGACACAGAAGGAATAAATTATTGACTGTTCAGAAAATAATCATTAAAAAACCCACAGGATATTTGGAAACAATTTCTTTCCCTTTTTTTTTTTTGAGACAGAGCCTCACTCTGTTGCCAGGCTGGAGTGCAGTGGCATGATCTCAGCTCACTGAAACCTCTGCCTCCCAGGTTCAAGCAATTCTCCTGCCTCAGCCTCCCGAGTAGCTGGGACTACAGGCGCCTGCCACCACACCTGGCCAATTTTTGTATTTTTCGTAAAGACGGGGTTTCACCATATTGGCCAGGCTGGTCTCAAACTCCTGACCTTGTGTCCCACCCGCCTCAGCCTCCCAAAGTGCTGGGATTACAGGCATGAGCCACTGTACCTGGCATTTTTTTTTTTTTTTTTTTTGAAACGGAGTTTCGCTCTTGTTGCCCGGTCTGGAGTGCAACGGTGCAATTTTGGCTCACTGTAGCCTCCATCTCCCGGGTTCAAGCAATTCTCCTGCCTCAGCCTCCCAAGTAGCTGGGGATTACAGGCATGCACCACCACACCTGGCTAATTTTTTATTTTTAGTAGAGACGGGGTTTCACCATGTTGGTCAAGCTGGTCTCAAACTCCTGACCTCAGTTGAACCGCCCGCCTCACAGCCTCCCACAGTGCTGGGATTACAGGTGTGAGCCACCTTGCCTGGCCAGAAACAATTTCTGATCTAAAACACATAGTGTTCAACCTTAGTTATTTCTTCTTAAGCATTGTATTTTTCTTACTGGTATCAATGACCAACTGTAAAATTCTTATCTGATAAAAGCTACCAGACACAAGGACATATTTTCAGATTAAAGAAGAAAGCTATTCAGAGAAAAAAATTGTAAGGCCAACACACTCATGTTGCCAAGAGATTGAAATATCTAAAACACACAAAGTGGCTGCAAACCTGCTTTGTCAACACCTTACATGCCAACCTTCATTTTCTACTTTTCTTCTTCTTATAATATTAAAGTTTAAAACTTTACAAAAAGGTTTAGTTTCAATCAGTATCAATCCACTATTTAGAAACAAACAAAAAAAAAAGTAAGAAAGGAAAAAAGGAAGAAAGAAAGAAGGAAAGACTTAGGAAGAAGTCTGAAAAACGAGACCGACCTATACCCTGGGTGAGATTGGATGGGTTAAGTGTCTCTGGCACTATTTGTCTTCACTATTGACAGACACTGTCACACAACCCACCACACGATGCCTGTCTCTGAATGGCGAAGCTAGAATGCAAGTTAAGTGTATTAATATAAAAAACAACTAGCATCCCAGCATATAAAATAAGCAATCCAGATTATTAAAAAAAAAAAATTGTAGGGTTGATCATTTAATTTACATGAATAAAACAGTTTCAATCTCCCATTTGTAGTTTTCCCACCCAACAAAAGTTTACATGCTAAAATAAGCAATGTTTTAAAATAAACTTCAAAAAATTAAATTATTAACCTCTGAATGCATGTAGGGAAATTTCTTATAAAAAATTTTTGTTAACTCGTATTCACCAATTTGCTCTGTTTATAGATGCAATCTAATCCATAAGCCAGAATTCTCTCTTTCAGCTGTTTTTCAGGCTGTTCCCTTACCGAAACACTTTTAAAGAGTGGAAGAAGATATGTTCTGAGCAATGCACTTACACGGTAAAAACAACAACAACAACAACAAAAGCCCTTTATTTTAGCAGCAAAATAACCTTTTCATTTTTCAGACCACACTGACTTAAAAAATATACCAATTTATTCTTTTAATGATAGACGCTACTTTGTATATGTTTGATCCTAGAGGCTCTATTTTTTAAAATAATGAGCACTACTGCTGAAGCTGAAGGGTCTGTTACTGATTTACTGCAGACCATCTTTTTCTTCTCTAGTCCATTAAATTGCCATTCAGGGTTCCAATATTATAAAACAATTACTCTCCAGTTTTTAATGTGAATTCTCTTTAAATAATCATTTCTACCTTATCAGAGTACCATTAATATACTCATATATTTACTAAAGAGTGCTTCCTAAAAAATAAAATGCTTAGCCTGAAACTTAGCACAATGTTTTAAATGTATTTTTTGTTCTATTCAAACAAAAATTCAACCCAAAATATCTAAGCACAGTGTATAAAACATGTACTAGATACATACATTAAATAATTTCATTTTAAGTCCTTTTTAAAATTCTTTCCTAATAGAAGAAAAAGATGTTTTCCATCATCTAATGATTTAAGTACTACTGGATAGCATCACTTGTCAATAATGAATGAAGAGACTATAACTCAGACATAATCTTCTATCCCAAATAATTTAAACACAAAAGGAAATAATTATACTAGCTGACAGTTACATTTATTACACTGCCAAAGACCCCAGAAAGTAGAGGCTAAAAAGAGAGAGAGAGAGAGAGAGACAAATACTGTAGTACTGAAAGATAATGTCACTTTAAGATAAAAACACTAAACTTAAAAATTAAGAGAGAAAAACAGTTCCAAGGGATGTTGTCTGAAGGACACTTCAATATGCTATACATTTTATAATAGTTTAGATTAAAAAATAAAGGCATCCCTGCCAATTCTAGTCCAATTTCCCCCCCCCCCTTTTTTTTTTGAGATGGAGTCTC